TTTAGCCTCTAAGCATCTCCATAAGACCTCCCTAGGAACCCTGTCGTACGCTTTCTCTAGATCGATAAACACCATGTGGAGATCCTTCTTCTTATCCCTGTATTGTTCCACCATCCTCCTAATAAGGTGGATAGCTTCTGTGGTAGATCGCCCCGGCATGAACCCGAACTGGTTGTCTGAAATAGACACCGTCCTTCGCACTCTCATTTCTACCACTCTCTCCCAGACTTTCATGGTATGACTTTGTTCATATGAGATGTCACAATTCACTAAATCTCTTGGAAATCAGTTTACTTGGTCAGCAGATGGATTGTGGTTTTCTTGTTTAATTGGTTGACACTATGAAGTCTGCATCTTAAGTTCTTGTTTTGGTACTTTATTTTCTTGTTGACACTTACTGAATTCAGTTTCTTACATGGTCAGCAGATGGATTGCGGTTTTCTTGTTTAATTGGTTGACCACTTCGCAGTCTGCATCTTAATATCTTGGATTGGTTCTTTATTTTTCTAGTGACCACTTTTGCTCTTCAGGCGTAACACAAAGCTGAGAATGATCCATCCTTCTTTTCTGCAGGAGCATGGTATTCTAGTTCGTGTGATGAGTGGGTTTCGTTCTCTAGGACGTGCAGTGAAATTGGCTCCGGATTTGTGGTCAGCAATGCTGATTCGCATGGTGGTGAAACCAGAGTTCCAGAAATTTGCTTTTGACATTGGTTCAGCGTTAACCAGTCATTTCAAGTGTCAACTTCCGGTCAGCTTTTGGATGGGTATTTCCAGGCTACTGCATAGGGTGGTTGATAAAAACGAAGCTGAAGTATCATGATGTAGCAAAGGTTGGTGCTCTCGTTTTTGTATCCATGGTTATGCCCTTGTTATTTTTCCCAGCGGATGCTTGGAATGAGAGTTTTTGAGTAGGGAATGAAAATTAACTCCAAGATTATAGAGAAATTGCAAATATTATGCCTCAAATGCGGGTTCAAGCACTCTGCCTGTTCTTCTGCGTTTGGATCTTACAGAGTATCTGCTTTCGTTTTCTGGATGGTGGGACAGAAAGAAGAGCGTCCCATCCAGCAAATGTCAATTCATTATACAAACATTAACAGGATCAAGAGGGAAAAGCACACTATACACTCCAAAAAGAGAGAACGGTCTTCAACTGCGCTATAGGCATTCTACAAATGTCAATTTCATTTTAATAACGTAATAGTATCAAGAGGATTGTATAGTTCCACCGAGGTTTCTAAGAAGTACTGCAAATTCTGCAGTGTCTCCGCACGTTGGAGTTGGTTATATAGCCTATAGCTTTGTGATAGTCTGAACTCTTGTCTGTATGGTGCATAATACACTTTTCATGTATTTCCACATCTGGTTTCTTGCCGGAGCCTGTCTTTTTCAAGTCCGAACGGTCTTGTTTCCGTGCAAAACCGAGTGCAGGATGATAAGTTCTTGTGCTAGTTTGTTTTGGTTGTTTATTTTAGGGAATCAATAATTGAGATGACACTTAAAGCAGAAGCTAATATTAAGCATCTCCACCGAAACTAAATTCAAGCTTAATTTCAGTTGAGACTAATAGTATTTTAACTGGGCAAGCAATGGTTAGAAGTCCTGAATCCGAATCCAGCAAGTCTTCCTTCATGCTCTAGGGAAACTCATCCAGGCACAACAAAGTTCCATTTTTGCTTCAGTTTCTTGCACCAAAAAGATAAAAGATAAATAAACAAAAAGTAAATTGAAGGTTTCTTACACCAAGAAGATGAAAGATAAATAAAAAAGTAAATTGAAGGTTGAGTGATGTTTTTTATCGACGCACTAATGAACTATTTTGTTGTGAATGAATAAGCTATTGATGAATTATTCAGAACTATTGATACGTGCCTTTTCCACATAAAACGAGGTTTGCTGAGTTATTGTAGCAATCCTATTTTGCATCGAAGGTCTAAAAGTATCAAGGCGACCTACTTCATTTTTTCAATTCTGTTCTTTATTCATCGACTCACTCCTTGCATTTTTATTTGCAAGTAGTGTTTTGTATGCGAGGGACGCGAGGCGAGGCGTTTTATCTGATATGAGGTGAGGCGTTAGCCTCGCGAGACGTTTTATCTGATATGGGGTGAGGCGTTAGCTTTAAGGTGTTGGACGTAAGCTTCATAATCTTTAAGTTTTAATATTTTATAGATTAATATAATAAAAATAAATATTAAAAAAAGGTAAATTATAAAATAATTACAAAAAATTCAAGAAATTATAAATAAATGATATAAAATTGCTTCATCTTCAAATGTTATTCAGTTTCAGCAATTGGCTAAAAAAACAAATCAGAAATGCTTTATTTATAATAAAACTAATTGACCTTTGAAAAAACAAAATTGAGTAAAAATTTATCAAACAACTTGGAAGAGCAAAAGTTAAAAGGAAGCAGAGCGAAGAAAGAATTTTTTTCTCCTTTATCTGGTACAAGACGAAGAGAAAAAAATAAAAATTAGGGCTAAGCATAAAAAGATCTTTGGACTTTTACGTTTTTTAACTTTTTGAAATGCAACACACGAGGTGACTTTTGTGTATATTGGTATAAATTAAGACTTGTTTAACAATTCTAATTCTAATTTAGTAGGTTTTCTCTGTTTACGCCCTAAAAGAAAAACTTGCTCAATTTTACTACGCCATGAATAATTAGACTTACGCCTCGCGATACTTTCGTCCCCCAAATCGCCGCATTTTTATTATGCCTCGCCCCAGGACGCTGCCCCTAAATTGTCTGTTAAAACACTGTTTGCAAGGATGGATCTGTATGACATACGTATGTTGTATTTAGTGGGAAAAAGTAACATGGCATGTCAATTGTTATATGGGCTATGTTTGCGTAACACTCCGTCCATTGTCGAAGGCGCAAGTATTTGGTGGAAATTAGTTAGGCTGCTATTATATATGTCTGGACTTTGGAGGGAGGCGAAAAAATGTATAGAATTTCTAGCAAATAAAGGTTACAAGTGTAAGTAAAATTTGATAATCTGAAAATTTGTGGTCAAAGGAAATGTGGTTTCTTCTCCTTGCTGAAAAGTAATTTATTTAATTTTTTCAATGTACCCAAAAGAAAAAGAAAGTAACACTATCACGTTCAAAGCTTCACTCAATAACTTTAAGTAAAAAAAATCACCAGTAAAAAGATAAAGTCCTTTAGCCTCTTTTGACTGTGTTTATCCTCAAAATCGGATAACAATTGATTTTGTAAGTAATTTTAAGGATACGATGACTAATTTGACATAGAGCGGTAAAATAAACTGCAATTGTAATGATCAATGATAAAGTAAATTCTACCCACACGAATTGAACAGTTACAGTCTTGGGGGGTTAACCACCTTTGGACTGGATGCATTTCATCGATATCAAGACACAGCTAAAATAAGAGCTTTAAAGAGAAAAATAATATATTGCTTTGGAATGCGTGTTATATCATGTGTTTTTATAAATAATCAGATCCCCTTTATATAGTAGGGGAGTCCTACTTTAGGTACAATTCTATAAAAGGTAAAGATCTCCTGATTTGCTGATTTTTCAGTTCCTTATTGATACGTGCTGAGATTTCCGCCGTCATATCCGACCGGTCATAGATATTTCGGCCTTCTGTTATTTCGGTCTTCTGTTGGTTACACTGACAATGTATTCTCGAGCTCGTTCGGGGTTAGGGTCGATTCCAGGATCACAGATTCAATGTTCTCGAGGACGGATACTCTGATCTCGGATTCTGGCCCGGTGGGATCGGGGGTCGATCTTCAGTCCCTCATGTTTCGAGCCCGATCTATCATGTCGTAGACACGCCCGATTTCTACCGTACACAGATAGTCCCCTCATTTTTCGGAGAGTAGACAACGAGAAACGATATGAGCTCCCGATTCTCACCTCGATATCATGCGACGACAAAATAAATGAAACATCACGTCAGTCAGGTCTTAATGGTATTAAATGCTCGTTAGTTGCCGGTCAGCCACTCCTAGATGCGAACCGTCGTTTGAAAACTATAAGTACCCCTTTCTTCATTCATTCAAACTTTACTTCCAAACTCTCTACCCTTGCTCCTTACAAATTTCTCTATTTTCTGGCACTTATACTCTGATTTCTTGAGATCCTTTATGAAGAGTTTTGCTCGTCTTCACCCCAAATCATCAAGCGTACTGCTCTAACTTCCTCTTCTTTTTTCTTCCTTAATTTTAAAAAGAAATGACGAAGACTTAAAAAATCATTTCCCCAAAAAAAACTACTTCTACATCACGATCGGCCATCGAGGAGACCATTCCACGTATTGTTGTTGAGGAACCAGCGGCGGAACCCCCTCTGAGCATGTTCATCCCTGATGGGTTCTCGGTAACCGCCGATTTTAAGGTTGAAAAACCTTCATCCGTACCGGGCCGGTGTAAGAAGGTTTCGAGGTACATCTGCTCGATCACTGAAAAAATTCTCCCCACAGTCAAAAAGATTGTAACTGGGTTGGTAAGAACATAGTGGTTCTTGGGTCCGATGAAGATACGTCGAGGGATACTTAAGTATTTACACTTATCCCTTTACACTGGGCCCGTTGGACCTGGTCATCATTGACTTCTGCAAAAGATACGAGGTGTGCCTCGGTCAGATTTATCCTTCGGTCTGGAAGATCATCATCCTTCTCCGGTTCTTCATGAGCAAGATCGATGGATGCTCGTTCACTGTCAACTGCCTCATGCGCCTATACAGTCCCTGACTCTTTCATGAGGGAAGGTTGATCAAGCATGTGCGTCGGGCTAGTAAAGCCCCGTTCTCGAGCATCAATGAAGATCAAGATCAAGGCTAGCTAGGCCATTTTGTTTGAGTGAGGACCTCAGACCTGATACCAGCAGAGTACATGTCGTTCCCTGAGAAGTGGAACACAAAATGTAAGTAAAATTTTGTTTTTCTAAAATTTTATTTTATTCTCTTTTCCTTCTTTCTTATCGGTGCTTGGTGGTGGTTCAGCTGTTGCTCAGGTCCCGAATGCAGTCCCTCGACTCAAGGAGTGGGTCGAGGGCATTATGTCACAAAAGCCATATTCTGAGTGCGCGTGGTGCAAACTTTCAAAGGGTCGGTGGGAGGCTCATTCTCATGGTGAGATTCCTTACCTAAGTGAGAAATACTAGGGTCTTTTTTATATTGCTAGGTTCTTATCCATTTCATTTCCTTTTGTAGGTTTATCCAAGGATGTCGCAATGAGGACTTTATCCCTAAGACAAGGATTGCCCCGCCGAGTCCCCTACTCCGAGACAAGGTGAGGAGAAGAAGAGAAAAAGGGCTCCGGGTTCTCTGAACTCGAAGAAGAAAAAATCGAGGAGGAGGCTATTGCGCAAATACAAAGAAAGCACTAGTGCTCGAGTGCCCTCATCGAATGCACTCCACCGCCTGAGGAACGAGTCTAAAGAAGAAGATGAGTTTCATCTGGTGGCCCGAGAGCCGTCGCAGCTGGAGGGGCAAGGGGCCTCCGAACCAGTGAGAGGCGAAACTGAATTGCCTCAACTCATGGAGGCCGATGAGCAGGCTGTGGCCGAGTCTTCTGAACCAGAAGGAGGCGAGACCGCTTTGCCTCAAGTTAGGGATGCTGACAAGGAGGCCGTGGCCGATGCTTCTCTGGCAGCGCACAATGCCTCGAAGGATGTAGTCGATGTGATAAACCTCTCCGAATCGCCTTCGTTCACTGAGTCCATGTTTAACAAGGCTCAAATGTTGAAAGGACGCCCAAATGAGGGGCCCCAAGGGGCGACATACCCATTTCACAGCTTTTTTGATGGCGTAGAATCTACCCTCGGAAAACGTCACCGGGTTGGGTAACTTACCGGCTCCAAGGAAGAGTCCATCTTTGGGAACAAACGGGCCTCCCTCAAGTCCGAAACTAGTCAACCAGTTTCTAGCTCCGAGTGCAAATCCTGACCGGAAGCGGTCAATCATCATGTTCATTCCGTAAGATGCCTGTGTTCTTTCTGCCTCCGTTGGGGTAGCCAGTTACCTTCAGTGCTTGGTGTCCGAGGAGGACCAAGCTAAGATGAACGAGGTGGACGTGCCCTACCTATTCAATGAAGCATTATAGGCATTAAACTGGGTAACTTCATATGCTTCTTGATGACTTCCAATCTTTTCTTAGATTAATTTGTAGATGATCATGACTTTTTAATTTGCGTTTGTAGGCCTCAGTGCTTCTTGATGAGACTTTTCTTCGATATCGGGAAGAGATAAACTAGGATGAAGCCAAGATTCGAGCGCTCACTAAGAAGAGAGATGCTTACAAGCTTCTCAGCGAGCAACGTGAGGGGGAGGTTAAGAACCTCCAAGCTGGGCTAGAGGTGGCTCAAAAGGAGCACGCCGACCTGGTGGAAAAGTTAAAAGTCTTTGAGGTTAGTG